GGGCTGTGACTTTCCCTCGCCACCCCTGCCCCTCGCAGACACTGAGGATGGTGTCCATGGCCCCACTGGGCTGCCTGGGCAGGGAGCAAGTGCGAGAAGCAGGATGCAGATCTCCTGGCCCAGTCGATGGGTGTGGGGGCAGCACCCCAGCAGCCTCCACCCACAGCCCACTCCCCACCACAGGGCAGGATGGCGCCGAGAGGCAGTCAGCAACGCACCGTCCACTAGTGAGGAAAAGCATCCACTTTATTACAGACCCCAAAAGCGCCTGTGGTAGTGCCAGGAGGACCACGTTTACATGGGATGTTTCCATTGTTCAGCAAGGGGAAGAGGGGAACAAACCCAACTGACTCTACTCACGGCTCTTTGGTGCTAGAAAACGTGGTGGTGTGGCAGAGAGAAGCTGTGGGTGAGAGGGGCACCAGCAGAGATGAGGGGGGACATCTCTGCCATCCACCACCACCCCCAAGACACCTGTGAGGAATTTGCGATGCATCTAGACATACACATACGGCAAATGCATTTTGCTGTCCCCCCCCAGCCTGCACCTACCTCGCCCCACTGAGCACCACAGAAAAGCCCCCACCTCCTGGCACCCCCAAAATGGTCAAACACCCTTTCTGCAAGGAGGGAGAGCAGGTCCCTGGGGGAATCAGCAACCGAAATCTCTTGGCTGGAGAGGAAGGAGGTGGGAAAGGCAACTGGTTCCCAGTAACTCAGACCCAGGCAGGAGGTGAGGCAGCCAGGTCACTGCTTCACTCCTCTCCTCTCTCAGCAGCAATGGGTTCCTTGGTCCACTTGTCTGTGACCTCCTGGCTGCCTGCATAGCCCACATCAAGCAGCAGGCCTGGGGCTCCCTCCCCGTCCCCTGTGACCTCCAGGTCCAGCTCCTCGAAGGAGGAGCCGCTAGCTCCTGACTCGCTGTAGCTGTGCTCGCTGCGGTTGTCTGCCTCCTCCCGGCCACGGCTGGCTGGGAAGGGCAGCAGGATGGAGGTGGCCACAGAGGTGTCTCTGCTGTCAGTTGTGGCCTCCATGCTGATGGAGCTTGTCTCACTCATGGTGTCGACCCCTGGGATGGAGAGAGAAGCAGAGGGAGTGAATGCTGCAGGAAGGAAGGGATGGGGATGGGGTGCCACAGACTTTGAAGCCACCAGAAACCTCAGAGATGTCAGGCCACAGTGGAGACCACCTCCTATCTCTTGTCACCTGCTATGGCCTTGAGACGTGACTGGGCCAAGACAAGAATGAGCTGGACTCCATCAACTTCCTGAAATCAGGGCACGCCCAAGGCAACACAAATGACCCCCCAAATTCCCAGCCACACCCTGGTCATGCCCTGGACCCACAGCTGCTCTCCACGCACACACCAAGGACCTGGCAAGCCCTTCCTTAGACTGTGTGTCTGTCCCTGGCATGGCACCACAAACAAGGCAAGGAGCAGGACGCTGTGCTGTGAAGGTGATGGGGAGCTGCAGCATTGCTTGCTTCAGCACCCAAGGGGATGGTGGCACATGGGCAAGTCCTCAGATGTGCTGCTGTCGAGGCAGGTGTACATCCAGCCTCATGCCAGGGCATCCTGGTGCCCTCAGCACCAAACATCCTGCTCCTGCTCCCTCTGTGGTTCTCCCACAGCTCTGGTAGCAGTGAGAAGGCAGGCAGGGCAGAAGCAAACAAGATTCCAGGCGCCAGAGGATGAGGGGAGCCTTCCCAGCTCACTCAGCACTTCACACAACCCAGCTGCCAGCCCACAGCACACCGTGTGACTGAACCCCTCCTGGGGGCTGCCCCTGCCTGCCCAGGCAGACCCCTCGGCCCACCGGCCCCTCCCCAGATCCCTGCCTCATTAGCTCCATCCACAACACAATTAAGGAGTCGACAAGGAGAGGAACGTGTCAGATTGAGACCAGCAGCTCGGTGCTGTTGCCTAAGCAACAAGCCAGGAGACAAAACCCTCCTGTAAAGCATTAATCATTGTTAATTATGACATCACAGATCCACGTGGTTAATTATGACATCACAGATCCACATTGTTAATTACGGCACAGCAGCAAACACTGGGCAGGCTCCTTCATCATGGCCCTCCCTGCTCCATCTTTTTCCCATTGCCTCACAATGCTGGGAAGTGTGTGCCAGGCTCTGTCACTTCCTAGCATCTCCATCCATGCCAAGCTGGACACCCCTGCCGAGAATCAGGCCCTGCACCAGGAGGGAAACCAGGAGGAGCCCTACATGGCAGCAGCAACGATGGAGGGCTGTGACTTGCTGCCAACAGGGCTGGGAAATGGCAAAGAGGATGGTGATGGCCATGGAGAGGTGCCCAGTCGGGAGAGGAGAGTCCTCTCCTCCACACTGTCTCCTGCCGGTGCAGCTGTGTCCTCAGCTGCTGGCACAGGGCTGTCCTAGACTCCCACAATCATTTCTAGCCTCCCCCAGCTCCTGCAGCAGGTGTGCCCAAGGCTGGGCTGTTCACCCTCCTCAGCTGTGTAGCAGCCACCGATCTCCTGGAAGAGACCCACCAAGGAGGGAAGTTTCCTTCCAAACATCCTTAAATCCCTTTTTGTACTGTTTTTCTTCTCAGCCTGGGTAGCTGCCAGGAGAACTGCTTGTAAATGGCAGTCCTCTGCCTTCTGAGCAGCAGCATCCCACGGTCCTGCCGGCTGAGTGACGGCTGCTCCAAGAGGACCGAGCAGCGGTAGCGGGATGAGAAGTAGCCAGGAAAGATCCACAGAGTGCACCCACTGCTTCATCCCACCTGGATGGCATATGGGCTTCATCCCACCCCAAAAGGAGCCTGAGCCTCCACCTTGGCCATAGCGTGCAACCGCTTTGCAGCTGGCACAAGCCAAGCCCTGGGCTGCCCACCCAAACGATGCCTGGTGACCCCCCCATGGAAAGGAGAAGAGCCTGCAGACACGCATTGCCTTTGCTGCAGCATCAGGGAGCACCTCGACACGGAAACTACATTTACTCTAAGTTAAAAAGGATGTTCTGCACACTGCGGTGAGGCGCTCACTGAAGGGGACAGCAGCCGCTGAGCAGGCAGCAGAAAGGTGGGAGATGCTGTCCCACCTGACATGACCTCGGCAGGGCAGTGGGTCAGTGTGGAGCCTCTGGGAAGACAGAGAGCTGCAGGGGTTGGAGGGGAGCATGTGACCCCCAAGGCTTGAAGGCAATTAAGGGTTTGCAAGATCTCTAGCGGGGATCGCAAAAAACAGTAAATCCAATTTGGCCAAGTTGGTGGCTGAGGTGACATGGACACATTCCCACCATGGCTTCATGACAACTCAGGTCATTCGTGGTCACCTTGTATTCCTTTGAAACCTGGGAGAGGAGTGACACTGACACCCCAAGCCGTGTCCTGCCTGAGCAGCAGCCCCCCCCTGTCACCCTGGGGGCTGTTTTGGCTGAGAAGCTGTCACGTAACCCCATGCCACAAAGCAAAGAAGCTCCTGAGGAGAGGAGCAGCGGCTCAGGAAAGGGAAGACAGGGACGAAGCTCATCTATACAGTGCTCCAAGCCACCACCATGGGAAAGCACTGCTGTCCTCGCTCTTGTAGCCTCCTTCCTCTCCCTTGCTCAAAGGGTGACAATAAATCGAGTCCTGTTTCCTTTCAGCTCGGCACTTTGTCACTGTTCTGTCACTTCTGATCATGTTTGAGCAGCCTCAGCTGGCGAATTTGCCCATTTCAGCAGCCTTGCTCTCCTCCGCGCAGGACAAGGCTGGCTCTGGCAAGGCCACTCAGCCTAGCCAGGATGAACGTCTGTGGTGGGCAGAGCCACAGACAGAGCTGCTGCTGCTGCTGGGGACTGTGCAGGGTCAGCTCTGGCAGGGGGATGTGTCAGAAAAACCCAGCTGTCCCAGCACAGCCCACAGAGGCCAGGCAGGCAGGCAGCACAGCTGGGGCTCCAAGAGGGCAACCAAAGCCCCACTGGAAGGGCAAGCAGGGATTCAGCTCTCATCTTGCAGGCAGAGGCTTCCAGCAGCTCTTGCACCCACTTGTCCATCCTTCCCTGCGCACCTTGCTTGGTCCTTCCATGAGGTATTGCCCATTCCTTGCATCCATCTTCCCAAAGACAGTCCCTGCACCAGCAAACAGACCAGGACCCCAGTCCAGCAATGCTTTTCCCTCTGGCATGCAGGGAGGTAGCAGTCACCCTGTGGAAACCCTCCTTGCACCTTGCTTCCCCAAGGACAGTATAGCCATCCCACTGTACCTTCACTCAGTAAGAACATGGAACTCAGGAAGTTTTCATTTGGGAAAAAGAGGCACAGCCTGGGGTGAAGCCACACCAGGAGGAGGAGCCCCACAAAGGCCAGGGCCACCTAGGAAGAAGGAAAGTCAAGCAGCCAACTCCAAGAGACCAGCAATGGGAACCACTCACCCCATGCTGTCAGTGAGCCTGGTGGGGAGCCAGCCCTCCCAGGCAGTTCATCCCTGTGCCATCCTAGGTACTGGCATCCCTAAATCCAGAATGAGGACTGGCTCCTCTCTTGCACGGCCCCAGTGTGACACTGATGCCTGAGCATTGCTCCCTTCTTGGTGCTCCCAGACCCTTTCTTTCCCCCCACTCCATGATATACCCATCAACTCTGCTGCTAACCACTAGATCAGTGCATTGCCAGGGGACACAGCTCCTCCGTGCTTGCCAAAGCTTGCACACAAGTCACCGGGAGAGGGGCTGGGGCTGGCAGACCAGCAGGAAGGCATGTCAGGAGCTGTGCACCAATATCCTTCTCACGATGTACAGGCAGGCAGAACAACCAGGGCCCTTCAGAGGGTGGAAGCAAGTAGGGATGAGGCAAAACACATCAAAGAAAGTGCATGCCCATGGTACTGGGGCTCAGCAGGTGATGCCATCAGTTGTACCTGAATGCTGCTGGACAGACTCAGCTCCAGGAAAAAGAGCACCTGAGATTTTGGGCAGAGCCACGTGCTTAGGAACCATCTGTGTTCATGCCAGCAAGCCCATGTGGAGAGGCTGCTTTTGTTTGCTTTCACCTTCCATGCGCCGCAGCAGGGTCACGCTGGAGAGCGCGCAGCTGAGAGGGAGCCGGGAGCGAGGACCCGCTGAGCGCCGAGCTGATGCCAAAGCCCCGGAAAATAATTAAGTGCAAAACAACTAATCGTGATTGACACTGGGCCCCTGGAGACCCGTCAGCCGCCTTCCAAAAATGCTTCCTGTCTTTCCGATGACCCTGGCGATGGCAAAGAAGGGACGGAATTGGTGCAGAGGCAGCCACAGCCCCCGGCCCCTTCCTGGCATGCGGAGTGTGTCCGTCCTCAGCAGAGCTGCCAGCACCCTGCTCCATGCGGAGCAGCAGCAGAAAGCAGAGACCCTAGACCATGTCCTACAGCCTTTGTGGCCATTGGCTTCACTCAGAGTCGCAGGCACCCAGCACCTCACAGGGTTAGCTCAGGAGCAAGGACAGCAGATGACAGCCTAACAGAGAGATGCGCTCCAAGGTCAGGAGGCTCGAGAAAACAAATCCAGGCTTTTCTTACACATCTAAGCCACTTGGTACTGTCTGGCACCAGCCACAATGACAGGTGAGGAGAAATGGCAACACCTTCCACTTGGAACTCCTCAAGTATTTAATTCAAGGAAAGCATAATCCAGCTGCTGGCAAGGAGTTTCATGACTGGACAGAGCTATATCCACACAGAGCATTATTCAACATGATGATTGCTCTGGAATCACACACTCAATGCTGTTATTTCAGTATTCTGGGAGGGGGGAAGAGTGGGTTTCATCTGCTGTCACATCAAAATCAAAAGCCCAAGGCTGCCATGCACAGAGCATCCTCAGCTGCCTTCAGGAGAGGAAATGGGGCTCAGAACCTTCCCAGTCTCCACTCACTCGGCGAGGCAGCAGCATGTCAAACCCCTACACCTGGATTTGTGCAGCCAGAGGAGCCAACTGCCACCATAAGGGACCACCACCCTCCCTCACTCTCCCAGAAGCATCCCAGCACTGCCTGAGCCTCCACAGGGGCTAGACCCAGAAACACTGTCAGCGCTGAGGTGGATCAAGAAATAACTCAAATCTATGCAATTAGGGTTGAGAGCGCGTTGCACTGACAGGCCGATGGGGACATTGCTGTGCCCACCCTCCAGCCAGCAGAGGAAAGCTCAAAAGCTGTCACAGACACCCTGGGATCTGCTGGGTCATAAAGATCTTATGGCTGTCGTGCCTCTTGAAGGGGCTGTGGCTAAGCAGAGCTTATCCTTGAGTGGCTGCCCAGTGAAGAAGGGAGTAAAAAAGATGGGAAAAGAAATGAGAGCGTTCTCTTTCTCCAACTCAGAGGTGGTTGCCCAGATCCCAGCACAGAAAATCGTTGTGAAGGGAGGACCAGTCTCAATCCCTAAGGCATCATCTTCAAGGAGTGTCCTCCAAGGTATCTCCAGGAACCAGCTGAGCAGCAGGGGAGATCTGCCAGCTGCCCCCTCCAGTGGGATCTCATCTTGCACTGTGGATCAGAAGACCCACACAGGATTTAGGCAGTGAGATGCAGAGCCCAACAAGACCGGTTGCCCCCTCCTACCTTCTGCCGCTGAACCAGGGGCAGCCCGAGGGCTACAGACCGAGTTCCAGGTGTTGGCAGGGCAGTGGCAGTGGGACAAGGATGCTTACTGGGCACTGTTTCTCTTTGCACAAGCCCAGCACCTCCCCACACCGTGCTACCCTCCACAGCTCTCAGCAGTTGAGCTGGCCCTGGGCAGTGTGACATCACAGGGGTGCAGGGACCACTAAGACCCCCAGGCAGGAGCTTCATAAGCAACTCAGAGGCTTGTCACATCCTCGGTCCCCTCCAAGGGCCAGAGCAAGGATGTGATACCCTGCCAGACCTAGTTCTGCCATTGTGCCCAGCAGTGACAACCACAGTGCAACATCCAAGTCCAACTCTTTAGTCTCAGAGGCAGGGCCAAGCTCACAGCTATTATTATTTTAAGCTGGTTTTGTGCAGACTCAGCAGATGACACTGGATCAGATTGCACCAACAAAAGCTCATCTACATGGCTGGAAGGGGAGGGGTGGCGGAGGAGCCGGCCCAGAGCTGCTGCCGGGGAGTCCAGCCCGGGGTCTCCCATGTGATGAAGTCCAACATCATTTGCTGTTTAAATTTGGGAAAACCTTCCTAGCCCTTCTTCCAGCAGGGCAGGGGACTCCCTCACCGCGGGTGCGCTGGCAGTGGCATCCCAGGGAAAGCACTGAGACAGCAAGGGTGCAGGGCAGCAGCTGCTCTGAGCATCCCTGGCTGTGCTGCAGGATTGCACAGGGGCAAAAAGGAGCACATGCAACTGCTGAAGGTGCTTCCCTGAAGCTGCTTTTGCACACATGTATCCTACCATCCCTCTCCAAAACCAAGGGGCAACCATGGGAAGAGGTCAGAGCGAGTGGGCTGTGAGGCACCTTTGGCCAAGCCAGGCTGGTGCCGACAGCAGCTACTCCAACACAAGGCAGACAGAAAGAAGAGCCAAGTGAGCACTGTGAAAAACACAGGACCACAAAGCACTGGGAAACATCTCCAATTAGACTCTTCAGTGCAGCGCTAAATGGACAGAGCTCCCAGAAAGCAATTCCCAGGCTTGCTTTTACACCACACGCGATTAAGAATTAAAGCAACCCAAACCTGAAGATGTGTTAAAACAAATGACCCAACTGCCCAGGAGGCGAAAGAGCCATCATGGATTTTTCATGCCCATTACACAAGCGTGGGTGACCCATGGGATGGGAGGAGGCAGCTGCCCCTGCCAGCAGCCAGTTTGGGCACCCCGTCCAGCTCCTGGGAATGCTCAGCTATCTGGCTCCCGCATCTCGCAGGCACGGGAGCACGTGGGCCGGCAATGGCAACTAGCATTTTGGGTTACTATAGCACTGCTGTTCTGCGCCTACAGCCATTGTGGTCCCTTCCTGTATGAATACATCCAGGCTCCAACAGATCTTGCTGAGCAGATGCTCTCAGGCAACTCCACCACCAGCTACAGCAACCTGGTATTTAAGCTCTTTGCAATCCCAATATGTAACAGATGAAGATGAGATCAAGGAAGATGTATATGACAAAGAAAAACAAGCCCAGCTGCAACCAAAAGCTGTGAGATACAGCTCTGCGCTGACAAGGGCCAGCGGCTCAGTGGCAGCTTGGTCCTTACCCTGACGTCACAGGGGTGCCTGGGTGCTCCCAGGGCATGGCATGACACCTCAGGGAAAAGATTGTTGGGGATCAGCCCAGGATGAGGGGAAGAGGTGGGCTGCAACTCGGTGCTTGGGCACTAGGTGGGCACAGGTTGGACCCTCTCTGTTCAGGCAGCAGCACTGGGAACACCAGGACACCCACCTTCATGAGGACTGAAGCCAACTGAAGATGGAGCCCGTGCGCATGGATACCTGTGATGTCTGTCTGGGCGTCCTCAGCCTCAGTTGCAGCAGCCCTGCTCTTCCTCTCCAGTTCTTTCATCTCAGGCACATAGAAGTCCCCTTGGCGGGCAAGGGGACACACAAAATAGATGCGGTCCTGCTTGTAGATCTCAATCCGGGGGTGGGCACACAGCTTCCTCTCCTGAAAGACAGCAGGCAGCCATGAGTCAGAGATGTGCCCTTGCCTCCTACCCCAGCAGGCCCCAACCACACAGACCTGCTGGTCTGGCTGTGTCACAGACTGACCCGCTTTGCCCACTGACATGGAGGCCCAATGAGAAGCAGTGGGCCCCATCTCAAAAACACAGTGCTGCTTTCCCTGTCACAACAGCCCCTCACGTACCAGGGCAGGCAGGTTTGGCTCTTCAGGTATGGAGCCAGCTGGACTCAAGGAGGAGATGCCCAAGACCACGGGAGACTCATCTCCCCCAGTTCAGCTTTGGTTTTGATGTGCTCACTTTGGGCTGGATCAAGGGGTTTCGGGGAGCCAAGCAGCTGCTTCACATGGACCTGCCAAATCTCCAGTGCCTCCTGGCAGCACAGCCCCACGAGCAGGCGTAGCACTTCTCCACTAATTAATATAATCCAGAGCCGACAGCTCAAGCAGCTCCTTTCAGAACGGCGAGGGCAGAGGGAGTAGGAGATGAATCCTTGACATTTCAGACAAGTCCCTCTCCTCCTTTTCCTCACCCCACCTGCCCCTGGCAGCACTCTTCAAGACCTCAGACCCCCAGCCTGTCAGGGACCCATGACAGGGGCATGTCCTCCTGGCTTGTGCAGCCCACGCCAAGCTGGGACTGTGGGGACTCTCGGGGTGCCGGGGCCGGGCTGGGGAGCAGCTGGACCCCTCCTGCCACCCCCTCCTCGCCCGCCTGCCCGCCAGCTGCTCACTGGCAGAGGGGGCGGCTGATTACAAGCCGGGTGAGAAAGGAGAGTGTCTCTTCAGCATGTCTTCTTTTTCTTTCATTCCCTCTTTCAAATCACTGACAGCTTTTATTTAACCCTGCAACCAACCCTGATTATCATCCTCCTCCTCTTCTCTGCCCTAACTATCTTCTTCCACCCTCTTGCCCTGACTATCCTCTTCTTCTCCGACCCAACAATCTTTCTCACTGCCTCAACTATCATCATCCTCTCTGTCATGTCCTCCTGATGTGGCTTGCCCAGACATTCCCTAGCAGGGTCCCCATCCCTTCAGGATTCTCCATAGCCAGGGCTGGCCCTGCTCCAAGGATGAGCTCTATGGACACATCAATCATGACCTTACAAAAGCCTGTTCATTCCTGACTCCCTTCACCCCTGGGGATGGACCAATGTGATTAAGAATCATTTATTTCCCAGGCAAATGCTGGCACTGGGTAGGACCCACAATCTGAGCTAACACTGACCCTCCCTGGCGCTGGCAGCCAGGCCACCTGGAGAGCCACCTCCACACTGCCAGGATGCTGTGCAAGCAAGACAGGGAGAAAATCCCACATGAACAGTTTTTGGAGTCATTTTCCTGGGAAAGCCTGTAGGAGCTGGCAATGCAGACCCCTAGTTTACCCAGCAGCACCACAGTGGCAGAAACATGACCCCAGCAGTAGCTTTACCCATCCCAGCACCTTTGAGCCTGAATTTCAGCAGAGTCCCTCCTCCAGCCAAGGAGGAACCCCACTGGCGATCCTGGTGCCGCGGGGACGCTCAGGGACAGTTGGGCTTCCAAGGCGCTTGGAGCCCGGAGTTCCCACTCGCGGGCAGGTGAAACACTGAGGCCTGCAGATCAAAACTGTATTAAATAAAAACAAGCTGGGCTGTTTTTAGCAGCAGAGCAGAGGCGGCTCATATCACTCCTGCTTTTTCAGCAACAAAGCAGACAAGAGCCCTCCCCGCCGCTCTGCCCCTTTGCTCTACCAACCACAAGCCCATCCGCCAATCTTCAGCTCGGCTCGTTATTTTAGGTTACTGCAGCACACACCAGAGATGGGTATCTCCAGGATTTGCAGGGCTTTTTTGGATGCATCCAGCTGCCCCTCCACCACTTAATGCAGACAGGGACAACTCAAAGAACCTTAGAAAAAAGAGACCTCTGCTAAATTCGTATGAGGTCTCTAACTAGTCTAAAACCTCGGGGCTCCAGACTGGCCTCCAAGACATTGCAAGCTGACTTCCCAAAGCCCATCCTGAGATTCCAAAAGAGCAGATTTTGGACATACCTTCTCCCTACAATTTATTCTAGGCTGCTACAACTTCCCTTCTGATTACACAGTCATAGTAGTGACTCCCCCAAAGCACAAACACCCCCTCCACCTACATGAAATGTGGGAATCATGGCTTTTTAAGGAATAAAAACGCACACGTGTGAAGAGCAGGGTCCTGGGCTGGATCTCAAGCCAAATGTTGCTTCACACTCAAGGATTATCCTATAAGAGAGATAAGGATGCTCCACCCTGCCAGGGTGGGAAGCAGCTCTATCTCTGAAGCCAGAGGAGTCCAGGTGCATTGTAGCCAAAACCCATGGCCAGTGACCAGGTTGGCAGGATGACACTGAACTGGATGGACACTCACTGTCAATACCCATTACAGGCAGGTACAACACTTGACTTCTTCTCAAGTTACCCAGGGTTTTCCCCACAAACAAATGGAGGGAAACCAGAGCCCAGTGGTGCTAATTTATGCCTGCACATATCAAGCTGGGAGCCAGGCTAGTGAGCCGGCCTCTGCTTCTGTGCTACTTCTAGAGAAACCCAGCTCCTGGCAGAGCTGCTGCAGAGCTCAGCACTGGCAGGTAGGCTCAGGAGAGGACAACATCCCCAAGAAGGAGCAGGGAGGTGGCAGCTTGGAATGCTGTCTTGTCCAGCCTGGGACAAAGGGGTGAAGCTGCATAAAGATTTGAGGAAAGGGCAGAGGCAAGGAGGTGGGGAGCCAGGCCAACAGAATAAGGGGATCATCCAAAAAGTGGACAAGGGGATCATCCCAGAGAGATCAGCCTTGTGATCATACCAAAGGAGACTAGGAAGCAGGCAGAGGCCAGGCAAGCACAGTGCAGCAAAGTGCAACCAAGGGGCTGGTGTCAGCACAGGACAGAGCGAGCTTGGGATTATCCCAGTGGAGAGAAAGGCTGCAAGGCTGCTGCATGTCAAAGAAACAGCTCAGGGAGACTGGAGAACAGAGTCCAAAGGCAAAGGCATAAGCAGAGAGAGAATTAGTAAAAACTCAGCAACATAGCAAAACAACAGAGGCTCAACAGGCAAAGCTACACTGCCGCTGAGAAGGGAGCCCCTCGCTAGCTGTGCCGCTAAACCAACAGATGGAGCAGCAAGGGGGATGTGGAGCTTGCAAGGCAGAGCCCTCAAGTCAAATCCAATGCAGTCTCACACGGACGAAGGAGCTCAGCGAGAGGTGAACAGTGGGACTCCGACAGTGTCAGGGCCAGGCTGATGGCTAGGACAGCAGGACCAGTAAGTAGGGCAGGGAAGAGGACTCGTCCCTTCACAAGGTCATGTGGTGCCACCTTCCTCCTCAGCCTCTGCCGGGAGCTCTCCCTTCCTGTAGCCAGTAAAGACAGAGGCAGCAGTACACAAAGCTATTTCTATGTAGGACTCTCCACTGAGCATCTGAAGCATGGGATTCATTGCACACAATCCATACAGCCAAGCTACACATACACAGCAAAGGCCAATGCAACCAGAGTCCACAAATTCAGTCCCAACAGGCACAGCAGGTCCAGCATACTCCTGCTGTGTCAGACCCCCTGCTTCCCATGAAGTCAACTCCTTCTTGGCCCATCCAAGGACTATGGTGGGGTGCTTCTCACCACCTTCTTGGGAACAAGGGTTTATGTAAGGGAAGACTTATGCACTCCTCTCTTCCAGGTGAAACAGCACCCTGCCCAATCCTTACCCCCAGATTGTTTCCAAATCACCAACCACTGACTCCCTGTAGGACTTTCTTCTTCAGGTTGCTCTCACCCCTCTAGGAATGGAAAATCCCCTGGCCTCTTGCATCAGAAAGGATGACAGGATTATGCACTGAACCAGCATTTTGGGAGACCTTCCCCAGCAGCAGGATGTGACACACCCCGGCAGCACAGATTTCCCACTCCCTACATGTCCATAAGCCCCCACTGTCTGCCCATGGAATGGCTCAGGCATGGCCTCCCAGAGAGAAGATGCTCCCACTTCCCTGTGTGGGCAGGAGACCAGCTCTGGGACTATGGGACACGACAAGGTGGCTGAGACATGACCTGCAGTCATTAAAATCCCAGCAGAATGGTGCAAAGGCGGATGGAGGCGGCAGGGTGCTAGCATCACACCATGCCCCTCAGCACCTGCTGGGAAGCAGAAGGTGAGCTGGGGCACTGCGGGGACAGGCTTTGTCACTCTGTCAGGCTCGTCTGCTCAGGAATTCAAATGTCACCAACTGGATCTGCTTCATCTCCCACTGCTGGAAGAATTCATCTTGTTAGAAGACCACAAACGAGCCTTGTGGATGCTCTCTGGCTCCTCGCCATGCCTGAGCATGCTGGTGATCAGGCTCCAGCTGAACTCAGAATATTTATAGGGCTGCTGGGAAGGCAGTGGGGAGGCAGCTGCTCTCCTCACCCCACTTCTGGCCACAAGCCTTCTGTCTCTACAGCCCCCTTGACTCCTCACCATAATGTCCTGGCATGGCTCACAGGGTGATGGTTAAGCACACCAACCCTCTGAGTCACTGTTTCGGGGCTGATGGCTGTGGGAGCAGTTGGGGAGAGGCTTTTCATGTCACCACCAAGACTCCTGCTGGAGCTGGGCCGAGGGCTGAGCTCCCCATGCTGCCCAGCAGCTCCTGGCTCTGCTACAGAGATGTCTGCCTCATGCCACCAGTGTGCCATATATACACAGCCATTGGCTGTGCCTGTCACCCACCTCTGTCAGAGGACCTTCTGTCTGCAATGCATGAAAAATATGCCCATAAAACCCAGCCAGGACTGGAAAAGCCATGGGGAGCAAGCTCCCCCTCTTCTCCCTCAGGAGCAGGAGGCCCTCTGATCTGCTATCCCAGCTGCCAGCCAGGGATGCATGCTCCAGGGATTGGCCCCTGGGCACTGCCAAAAAGATGGAACAGGCTAGAGCCTGCCCAGAGCCACTGGGAAAGCAATAGTGCAGGATCCATTCTAAGCATCAACTTCTCTCTGCATAGTCCCAACAGAGAGCACAGCTGCCCAGAGGGGCTGATGACCATGTGGCTGACCCTGCACCAGCAGGGCCCAGACTCAAGGAGAAGCTGGGGGTTGGTAACAGGGGTTTGTCTTGATGTCAGTTTGGCATACTGTGCCCAGAGCTGCCACTCACCCCTGCTCTGATGGCAACAGGATGTGCTGGTGCCATCAGAGGGAAGCAGAAGGGTGCCAAGCACATGGAGCCAGCTCCATCCACATCCTGCTGTGACCCCAGAGCAACACCAACCACATGAGGGGTTTTTCCGTAGGCAGTTGGAGTCAGCCCACTGCCAGGTTACAGCCAGGTCCACGCTACCAAATTTGACCATCAGCCTCAAGTAGGATTTGCTCAATGCCAGCAATGCAGAGTGGGTGCCTGGCTCAGACTCTGCCCTCTGGGAAGCACATGGTGGGTGCCAAGGGACAACCCTCCAGCCTCCCTGCTGCATCAGGGCTCCCCTCCCTCTGTTTATTATGCTGCCCCACCTGAAGGAGGAAGAGAGAGTGGGTATGAACACATGGGGGACTTTTACCTATCACTGGGGATTGCTGCCTCCCAGGGGGGCTCACCAACATCCCCCCAGCCAGTCAGAGTATCATCACACCCCACTGCCCTGGGCCTCCCCTTGCCTATGCTGCCGGCACTGGTTAGCGCCGGCAAGTCAGCTGGCACTTGGCAGAGTGTAGGGGGACCCCGAGGGGACCCATCAGCCCTGTCCCTGCATGCCAGCAACTCCTGCCTGCTCAGACAACATGACTCCCCCACATCTTCCTTTCTGCTGGAGACATCCATCCTCTCCTCTCAGTGACGGGGTCGGCCGCTTCAATCCCAGGCATTTTAAAGAAACAACAAAACCGCGTGGAGCTGAAGGGCCCTAAATCAGTTGCTAAAATTAAAAGCTGAAACTGAGCCACCAGCTAGGACTGGAGGGAGCTTGCTGTGTGCCACATCCTCCTCGCTTCCTCACACGCTCCACGCTCGGTGTGTCATCCCCGCTTATCTTAGAACACGGGCGCTAGGTAGTCCAGAGAGGCGTTGCAAGTCAGCTTGAACAGCACCCAGAGCCCTTCAGCGCTCTCCCAGTTCAGCCAGGGCACAGACTCCTTGTTGGGCCATCCCTCTGTCCCACACCCAGGTTGGGAACATCCCTGTTTCCATTTCTCCTTGCCCAGACAGCAGTTTGCAGTTAAACACTGCTTCAGTCTCACATCTGAGCTAATGAAAGCAAAAAAAATAGAAGCACCCCTTCCTCCCCGAGTTTCAAACTTGATTTCAATGTGTGTTGGCAGCCCAGAAAGCCAAGTGTCTCCTGGGCTGCACTGCAAACAGCATGGACAGCAGCTTGAGGGAGGGGATGCGGGGACGCTCCCCCTCTGCTCTGCTCTGCTCTCACGAGAACCTACCTGGAATACTGCCTCCAGCTCTGGGGTCCCCAGCACAAGACAGTCATGGACATGTCAGAGCCCCTGTCCAAGGGCTGGAACAACCCTGTTATGGAGACAGGCTGAAAGAGTTGGGATTGTTCAGCCTGGAGAAGAGAAGCTTCTGAGATCTCATTGCCTTTCAGTACCTAAAGGGGACTTGCAAGGGATGGGGACTTTTTACCAGGCCCTTTGCAGGGCAAGGGGCAATGGTTTTAAACTGAAAGAGGACAGGTTTAGATTGGACATAAGGAAGAAATGGCTTGTGATGAGGGTGGTGAGGCACTAGAACAGGTTGTTCAGAGAAGCTTTGTATGCCCCATCCCTGGAAGTGTTCAAGGCCAGTCTGGATGGGGCTTTGAGCAACCTGCTCTGGTGAAAGATGTCCCCGCCCACAGTATGGGTGGCTGAACTGGATGACCTTTTGAGGCTCCCTTCCAAACCCAGCCCTGATTTTGGTCCACCTTGCTGAGCCTCAGCCTGACCATGGGAGGCAGGGATAAAGCCTGGGGGCTGGGGGCTGCCTGCCAAGAGGCAGAGGTCAGCTGGGGTTAGGGAGAAGCCACTGGCCCAAGAGACGGTTTGGGCAGAAGGGAGAACAAATTGCCGGGGGGAAAGGCAGGCAGACATGCTTTACACTAGCAATACTTCATGTACCAAGGAAACCCCAACATGACCCCAGCCCAAGGAGGGTGCACATGGAGCTGGGCAGGCCCTGCCTCCCAGTGCGATGGCACTCAGAGCCAGCTCCAGCACACAGCACAGCCAACACCAGGCTGCACAACAGCTGCTGCTTCCCAGACTGGAGAAACTCACATTTCAGGGGTGGTGAGACTGCTCCCACGCACGTGCACTTTACTTTCAAATCCTCTGGGCTGCAAGGTGTTTCAGAAACAGAAGGTGATATTATTGCAATCAAGCAAAGGCCATTTCCGTCAGCCAGCAGGAAAAACGAGCGGCACCACCAGCACTAGAAAACAAAGTCTCGCCAAAGGATAACAAATCCTCCAGGTAGCAGAATACAGCGCCTGGCAATTAGCACCTCCCACGCCATCAGCATCCCTCCCTGCCCTCTGCACTCGCACACTTCCCCCGCTTCCCGCAGCAGGCCCCCGTCCTGCCTCGCAACCAGGACACAGCGCCCTGCCGACGTGGCAGCACCATGGCTTCGGGACAGGCAGGTGAAAATCAGCCCCCGAGATCCTGTCTGCACCAGTGAGAGGGAGCAGGAGTGCGTTTAGACCGTGGGAGCCGTGAAACACCAGGCATGATAGCTGGGAGAGTTTTTCATTTTCACCTCGGTGAAGGCAGCCTGGCATGCAATTTACACCTTGCCCGCCCGCCCGCCTGCGCTTCCCGGGGCCAGATCACCCAGCTGCTCCCATGGCTCTGCCGGGGTGGAAACGGCAAAGAGGCAGCTGCCAGGCACGGCCAAATTGAGAGGCAAAGGAAGGAGCCTGGGTGGGTTGGTGGCTTCAGGAGGTCCCAGCAGCCCGAGAGGGTTGATGAAGACCAGGCACAGGCTCCCAGATCACTGCTGGAAGCTGCTGTTAAGAGTCACGAATACTTTTCTCCTCCATGGGATGGAGATTCCTTCCTGACCTCCAGTATAAGGGAGTAACCTCCAAGCCCTGCCTCACTGCAGGTGCAGACACGCTCTGGACCTCCTCCCCTTTCAGCACCTACTTGAGCTGCAAGAGAACTTCTGCGGCATGTACAGGAGCATCCTCCATCTTCAGAGATGAGCTGGGCAGCAAGACTCAGCAAGATAAAACCTTTCAGAAAGTAGCCAT